TCTCCCATAAGGAAGAAATTTCCCCTCCTTAAGTCTTTGATAATCTTGAAAAAATAATTTATGTAGAAAATACAAAATACAAAAAATACTTGATTTTTCTCCTTTATTAATATTCAGAGTAGTAAGTTTGTAAACTGGAAACCTTCAAGTGGGCACTTTTGTTTAGAATTACTGTAAAGTTACAGATTTTATACATTCCATGTGTCATTGCAGTCATTCTTATTTTTGCTACTCAAATTGCCCAGTCTTCAACCAATGTGAGTCCCTTTCAGGTTAGCTTTCATATCCTTTTGACAGGACTCCAGTTGGCTTAAGATGAGCCTAGGACATCTTTCTTGATAACTTCCTTGCTTTCTGGCAAGAAAGATATCCCAGGCTCATTTGTCGAGTTCATACTCCAGACCTGGAATCTGGAATGCACCATTTCTCCACGGATGTTTAGCTCTTTCTTTTTAGTGGAAAATGGTGTTAAGAGACCAAAATTGGAGCAGTAGGGCTGCTCATTGCTATTGAGTTGTCATTGCTTCTAGGTCTTTTTGGTTGACAGAGCTTTTTTTAAACAAATAAAAGCCGTAAGTTTTTATTTCCAAGTCAAATTTAAGATCACATAATTTTTACTTGATTTCTTTGATTTGATATTTACATCTGTTTTCTCTCACGCTGAAAAGTTTGGTTTCCAATGGCATTAGCATAATTACTCACCAGTTTTAACCTAAGATATGCCTATAATAATGATGGGGTTCAGAATATGCTACCCCCAAGTATGGCACCTGCTGTATTTGAGAAAACAGCAGAAGCAGGAAAGTCATTCTCATCTTCCCATCTTCCTCTCATCCCTTCTCCCTTAAAGCAGGTCATAAAATCTAACTGACTTCCCTCTAAAGTAGGTCATAAGACCTCAACTCCAGAGATAAGTTTCCTATACCCTGTAAAAAGGAATATCATTATCCCTGAAGACACGGAGATGCCAAGAATAATAAACAGGTCTTGCTAAGTTCTCCCCAGTTTCTTACCATTAGATCAGACCCTTTTGTCCTCCAATCACGTTTCTTCACAATTATCTACTTTTCTTCATCAAGCTTAGCATAAAAATACAGATTTCCCTGTTTGTTTGGGTCTTCATTTCTTAAGGCTCCTGTGTTGTGTAAACTTGCATTAAATACATTTGTGTGCTTTTCTCTTGTTAATCTGTCTATTGGTATGTGGATGTCATCCATGAACCTAAAGATGGGTGAGAAATCTTTTTTCCTCGATAATAGATTTAAAATAATAGTAATAATATTGCTACTATTGGTAAGATTACTACTACACTTTTTTTATTTGTTATTTTTATTTTTTGGGATGGGGTCTCACTATGTTGCCCAGACTGGTCTCCAACTCCTGGGCTCAAGCAATCCTCCCACCTTGGCCTCCCAGAATGTTGAGATTACAGTTGTGAGCCACCATGCCTGGCCCTGACTATACTTTATTTCCCTTCATTTCTTTGCCACCAAATATTGTTCTGCATTTTGCTTTTTTAACTTAACAATATATTTTGGTCATCACTCCATGTCATTATATATAAATCTCCTTCCTTTTAACAGCTGCATATTACTCCATTGTGTAATTACTCCATTGTGGACATATATGAATTATTTTCAATGTTTATAACAGATTTTACATTATTTCTCATATTATCTGTTGAATGCTGTGATAATCAACATATTCTAGAAATGTTATATTTGGCTAAATTTAATAAAGATAGAATGCAAAGATTGGAAAAAATGGCAACTGTTAACTAAACATAGTAGTTTGAATTTACACCACTTGAGAAGGGAAAAATAACTCCAAAAATGTGGTGGGTGGAGAAGCTAGCCTGAAACGATCAGTAACCTAAAATTTTTACTGCCAATTAAAAAGTGGCTAGCATTTGTCTTAACACAAATTCCCTGAAAACAGAGCCTGAGGTAAAAGGGGTGGGGTTGTAGGGGCAGTTTGTGCAATCTTAGGGAAGTAGAAGTGAGGAGAAGGAGAGAGAAAATATTAGGATTATTAGGTTGGTGCAAGAGTAATTGCGGTTTTTGTCATTGAAAGTAAGGGCAAAACTGTAATTACTTTTGCATCAACCTTATAAATGGAAGTTTTTTTCCCTTTCTTTCTTTTTTTCTTTCTTTCACCTTTCATCTCTCTCTCTCTCTCTCTCTTTTTTTTGAGACAGGGTCTCACTCTTTTGCCCAGGATGAAATGCATGATGCAATCATAGCTCACTGTAACCTCAAACTCCGAGGCTCAAGCGACACTCTCAAAATGGAGCATGTTTCTGAGCTGATCTCAACTCCACAACATCTCTGGTTTCCCAATGGTGGAACCGCACTCCATGGAACTTCCTGCAGTTCTGGTTGTATCACCTGGCCCTTGCAAGCCGTTGCTAGAGAAGCCCGAGCCTCTCTGGCTCTTGGTCTGTTTAGGCTGGTGGGCAAGCACAAGGGTCTCTCCTGGTCAGTCAGCTTCACATGTTAGGGTTCCTTGCCCTATGACGGGAGGAGGTAGCAGCAACAATGAGTGTGCTTCAAGACCCCAGAAATGGCCTCTGTTGCTATGATGGCAACCAGGCTGCTAAAGGAGGTGCAGCCAAGCCAATCTGGAGTGGTTCACAAACAGCCTAATGCACAATGCTAAATGAAATCATCTAAGTCTTCTGTCCTTCAGAAATCTTTCAGAACAAAAGCTATTTCTGACACAGCAAGAAAATATCTTAAAAAGTCATCAGATATTTTTCCTTGGCTTTAAACAACACCGTAAAGCCAGTCTGGTTGCACACATCTGTAGTTTCAGCTATCTGGGAGGCAGAGGTGGGAGGATTGCTTGAGCTCAGGAGTTCTGGCAGGTACGCAGTGCACACCTGGGAATAGCTCTTGCACTCCAGCCTGAGCAAGAAAGCAAGACCCTGTCTCTGGAAGAAAAAAACAAGTAGCTCATTCTAGTATCTAAACATAGCAATTTACACCTTTAATTAACCAGGCTGTAGGCCAGTGCTGTGGCTCACCTGTGTATTCCCAGCACTTGGGGAGGCAGGAGGATCACTTGAGCCCAGGAGTTGGAGACCAGCCTGGGCAACATAGTGAAACCTCTGTTTGTACAAATAATAAAAAAAGTATCCAGGCTTGGTGGTGTGCACCCCTAGTTCCAGCTATTTGGGAGACTGAGGTAGGAGGAATTCTTGAAAGCCAGGAGTTGAAGACAAGCCTGGGCAACATAGTGAGACCCTGTGTCTACAAAAAATAATTATCTGGTTGTCTTGGCACAGGCCTGCAGTCCTAGCTACTCGGAAGGCTGAGGTGGGAGGATCACTGAGCCCAGGAGGCTGAGGCTACAGTGAACGATGATCACCCAGCTGGACTCCAGCCTGGGAGACAGAGGGAGACTCTGTTTCCAAAAACAAAAACGCAAGAACAGTCGTCATAGACTTGACCTGGGACATAACTTTTATGTGATGAAATTAACAATCTTTTAGGAAGAAATTAGCATTTCTGATAAAATGTATTATAATCACATTATTATAAATTCAAATGGAATTAAATATTCTGAGAAACTAGCTTCTCAGTCTCTCAGTTGTCAGTCAAAAGTTTAATGTCTTTGGCTGGGTGCGGTGGCTCAGGCCTGTAATCCCAGCACTTTGGGAGGCCAAGGTGGGTGGATCACAAGGTCAGGAGATCGAGACCATCCTGGCTAACATGGTGAAACCTCATCTCTACTAAAAATACAAAAAATTAGCCGGGCACGGTGCTGGGCGCCTGTCAGGAGAATGGTGTGAACCCGGGAGGTGGAGGTTGCAGTGAGCTGAGATCGCGCCACTGCACTCCAGCCTGGGTGACAGAGCGAGACTCCATCTCAAAAAAAAAAAAAAAGATAAAACAAGTTTAATGGTCTTTGAGCCAAGTATTCTTCCTTTTCTTCTTTTTTTTTTTTTTTCCACAAAATATCTCTAGATTGAATCTTGGAATTGACTTAAGTCTCTTGTGGCAATTTTGAAATGAAAAAATACATAAATACATGCTCATAATTAAATTACCTGAACATTTTTAAAAATCATCATGAGGTTCAAATATCAAATATTCATAAATATTGTTGTGATGATAGACATGACTTATTTTTTCCCTTAATAATGATTGAATGTTTATATATCCTCCATTCTGTCTCACTCTATGATTAGTACATTATAGTGGCAATAATCTTAGGAATCTAACAGAGAAAAATGTTGCATTTGAAGACTACAGACAGCAAACCAATTTGAGCCAGGTTCCTTGACATGTCGTGCTATTATTATAGTACTTTACATATAGTAAACATTAATTACATATATGTGTAAGGAAGCAAGAAAAGAAGAAAGTATTTCATTCAAACTCCTCTCTCTCCATCACCATTGGCTAATATCATCATTTGTATAGTTAAGAACAACACAGGCACTCACCACATAGTTTTTGAATAAATGAATGAATGGCAACCCTTCTAAGACTATTGGATACACTGTTGTGTGAAGGCAAAGAGATAGAGTAGATATCTTCAACTTTTTTCCTGTCTTATGATTCTGTGGTTTCTATGACTACTAAAAGTTAGCTAGGTAGAAAATTTGTTTTAAAGTCTGAAAACCAAAATGCTTTCCGATAAAAGGCAGGGAGAAAAATAGTCTTCAACATGTCCACTTTAGCACCAGGAAAACCTAATATCAATATCACTATCAATGATATCATATAAATATCATTACATTGATGAGCAATGTCAATCCCTAAAAACTATGTATACTAATAGCACTAACTTGTGGCCAGAACAAGAACCTTAACTGTGCCAAATTTTATTCTATTCAATAGCAGCTGCCTCGTTTTCAGTTGTGCACATCTGAATGCAAGCAATCCCTGTCTGATGTGGAGTTTCTTGCACTGATAAGGAAAAACTGCTGAAGTTGTGAGGCTGCTCCAGGCAGAGTCATCATGTGAGTCATATGAAAGCTCCACACTGCTGACCTCTGGCAAAAAGGGAGAGAACAAGGATAGGAGAGGCAGTGGGGGAAAGGTTCAAGTGCGGGTTTTCTCCTTGAACCTAGAAGATTATGGGTCAAGAGCTGTGTGCAAAGACTGTACAGCCTGGATGCAGCTGCTATCGTTGTTCAGAGGGAGGCGAGGCACACAGCTGTCGGAGGAGTCAGCCTGAGACCATGGAGGCTGCGTTCAAGGTATTTGTATCCCAGGAGGAGAGCATCTTTCTCTATTGATAAACCAAGGAGTTCAGACACTCCCTTTTTGTAGCAGGGTCTGATTCTTCTGCGGTAGGTCTAAACCAATAAAATGAAAATTCTATTAAAGTCACAGAAAATTTATGGCTGTAGTTATCAAATTTGGAGAATTTCTTGTAAACCAAAAGGGAAAAATAATCCTTGGCTTTGGGTTGCACGAAACTCACTTGGCTTGAAGTAGTTCTCTCGAAATCTCTAAGGTCCTAAATTACAGAGCTGAGATTTTAAAGGCAAGCTGCAGTATTAGTTGATATGCTATGGATTCGAAACTTTAGTAATTAGTTCATGATTATTAGCAATGCAGTAGTAGATTATTCCCCCACAGCAATAAATTAAGTGGACAGGAAAAAAAAAAAAAAAAAGCCAGAGTTAAACAGAAAAAAGTTGGAAAACATCCATCAAAGAGATTTAGGTTAACCTAAATGTTAAAGACATATTTTTAGGTGAAGAAAGAATGTAGTATTTCAGGAGTTGATACCATTATGGTCTTTTTCAGGGATCTTTCAAGAAAAGTGCCTTTTGGGGGTACAGGAAGCTTAGAAAACATGTGAAGAGTGAAAATGAGGCAAATAAAGAAAAAATTGTTTTACCAGGCACTGAATCTTTACTTTGCATAAATTTTATTCCTGCTCTTTCTTTTTTCTCTAGCTAACAGACCTAAAAGAAGCATCATGTTCCATGACTTCATTTCACCCCAGGGGACGTCAGGATGTCCGTGCCCAGAAGTTCAAGAGTAAAAGGCCACGGAGTAACAGTGATTCTTTTCAGGAAGAGGGTCTGAGGCAGAGTTTTCAGTGGGTGAGTGAGCAGCTGATGTTGATCAAGAAGAATTTAATGTGTGCTTGTCTAGGGAGGCCGGCCCTTATGTCCAGGGCAATTACTGAGCGAGCCTTCCCAAGTCTGCTCTGGAAACGCTGTCTAATTTCCCTGGAGAAAAAAGTCAACACTAAAAAAAAGTGCTCTTTCTCTCTTGCCTTTCACCCACTCCTTTTCCCCATTCCCCTAAAGCAGAGGAAGAGCCTCCCTTTTGGAGCAGCCTCATCTTACTTGAACTTGGAGAAGCTGGGTGAAGGCTCTTACGCTACAGTTTACAAGGGGATTAGCAGGTGAGTGACACATAGCTGGGATACACTTTAGAGATAAGGGTCCTGCCCCCTTAATTTCACATTATAAAGCCAGGTGAGACATCATAGAGGTTCATAGCACTCAGGACCTGGGCAAGACACCATGGCCGACAGGGAGACAGACATGATGACTTAAACAGCCTTGAAAGAAAAACAAACCTGCCCTGCCCTAATTAAAATCAGCCCACTTAAATGTTTATCAGCCTTTCCCTTCTTGCATTCAATTCAGAGAATTCAAAGAAAATAGACATTCTCTACTACTGACCCAAAGAACAATTACCACTCTTCAGGCCGGTGGGAGGCACAGTTGGTAAAGCGTCTCTAACAGGTTTTTTATATCCCTCCCTAAATCACAATGACAGAGGTTTGTAATGGCAACCTGGAGTTTGCTTCATTCCTCCACCTGGCCTTTATAGAAGAAATTGGAGTTGGTTTCTGCAAATTATGGTACATGCAAAAGATGATGAATCCTAGATTTTCTATACTTGCAAAATATACAAAATGTCTGGAGAATAAAAATACTGCTTATCCAAAAGCTAAGTACTAATTTTGGTAAACAACAAACTTTGTTAAATATATATAAAAGATCCATGAATTCCCTTGTCTTTTAGTCAAGGTGGGAAAGTTGGAAGGTCGTTTTTTCTTTATGTTACTCCAATAGATAAAAATAATGGCTCAATAGTGGTTAAATATTAATTTTAAAAATATAGCTGATCCAAGTGCAGTGGTATTTACTACTTGATCACAACCAGCTACAGATTTCTTTGTTCCTTCTCCACTCCCACTGCTTCATTTAACTGGCCAAAAACAAAAAAATGGAAAAAGAAAAATTTTATATAACTACTACGAGACTAAATATTCATTGTTTATCTTAGTATTTATGCTGTTATTATTAATTTTACTTGTTAAAACAAGATTGTAGGGGACATACAATTTTATTTTATTTTATTATTTATCTATTTATTTATTTTGAAATGGAACCTCACTCTGTCACTCAGGGAGTGCAGTGGCGCGATCTCAGATCACTGCAACCTCCACCTCCTGGGTTCAAGTGATTCTCCTGCCCCGGCCCTTTATACTTTCTTAATCTGTTTTAGTTATGGTGTATATTAACTTTTTTTAATGCTGAGAACATCTGCAATAAAAGACCACATTTGATTTTATTCTAAGGTTCCTCATATCAGTTTGGCCATGGTAACTGTTTCAAGATGGCTCAGATCTGGGGCACCCTGGAACATACTTGGATACATGGGTACCATGAACACTTCTGATCTTCCCTTCTGAGTTCTGACTTTGTTCCACACAAACAGACCTTTCTAGCCCAAAGTTTACACAGAATTCACTCATCTTTTCTCCTAGTTACTGTATGTTTTCTTTTTCATTTAACTCTTTCATCTATTGGGAATTTATATTGTATATTCACAATCATCCCAGCTCCATTTACTAGATTTTCTTTTCTCTGATGGTTTGAAATGCTGCCGTGATTACATATTAGATCTCATGACTACTTGAAATTGTTTCTGTTCTAATCTTTTAAAAAATCATGTTTCCTTAATCTATCTTTTCTTATATTTGTGCTGCCTTTTTTTTTTTTTTTGAGATGGAGTCTCACTTTGTTGCCCAGGCTGGAGTGCAGTGGTGCTGTCTTGGCTCACTGCAAGCTCCACTGCAAGCTCTGCCTCGCGGGTTCACGCCATTCTCCTGACTCAGCCTCCCTAGTAGCTGGGACTAGGGACTACAGGTGCCCACCACCACGCCCGGCTAATTTTTTGTAGTTTTTTAGTAGAGGCGGGGTTTTACCGTGTTAGCCAGGATGGTCTCGATCTCCTGACCTCGTGATCCGCCCACCTCAGCCTCCCAAAGTGCTGGGATTACAGGCATAAGTCACCGCACCCAGCCTTGATTTTAATTATTGTTGCTTTAGACTATTTTTAGAATATATCAAAACTCTAAATTAGAGAATTATTGACATCTTTGCTCTATTAGATTTTCTAATACAAATATCCTGTAAATATCTAATACAAAACAGTCCCTGGAATGGTCATTTACAAGACCCTATGCAATCCCTACCCTCCATTCCCCAGCACACACTCAGCTCCTCTCTGTCCTCATCTCTCCTTCGCCTCTCCTGCTCCAATGCCGGGACTGCTCCTGCCTCAGTCAAGGACTTTTAACTTGCTGCTCCCTCTGCCTGGAGCTGCCTTCCACTGTTCATGCACACAGCTGACTCCTCCCCTCCGTCAGATTCCCGGTTCAACTGTTACCTTATTTATAAAACTGTAGTCCCAGCTACTCAGGAGGCTGAGGCAGGAGAATCACTTGAACTTTGCAGGCGGAGGTTGCAGTGAGCTGAGATCGGCACCACTGCAAACGAACCTGGGCGAGAGTGACACTCTGTCTCAAAAAAAAAAAAAAAAAAAAAAGGTATAAAGCATTTTCTCTTATAAACATACTTGCCAAAAAACTTTTTGCAAGGCTTAGGGGAGAATTTCATGGAACCATGTTCTGAGGAAAATACATCATAAAACTTTTAAACAAAATTTAAAAGACATGATAAGGCAAACAAAAGAAACTGGGGAAAAGTTTGTGCAAAATAGTTCAATAAAAAGGTGGGCAAATCAGCAAATCACAAAAAAAACAGAAAAGATCCATAAACGTATGAAAAGTCAGTTTCACATATGGTTAAAGAAATGTAAATTGAAATGTGATAAACCTTTTTACCTTTCAAATAGGCCAAAAAAATGAAGATGAAAGCAAAAAGCAAACCCACATGATAGGGCTATCTCAGAGGGACACAGGAGCCAACTGAAAGAGCTTCCAAAGGACAAAGCTGCAAAAATTTGAGCAACCAAAAAAAGTGGTGTTAAATTATAACCCAAAGTATAAAATAAATATCTATGAGTTCATACTGATATAAATAAATTATTCAATACATTAACAAATGGGAGAGAAGAAACAAATCTTTCATGCCAAATAAATACAAATAATTTATGTAGATAATATACCTTCAAAGAGGTACAGCAAAACTCTCCACTCCTTAAGTGTGGGTCATTCATAGTGGCATTTCTCTAAAAGTACAGTATGAAAAAGGGAGAGAAAGAGTAACTTTATAGTAGAGAAACCTGACCAACACTGTCTCAGACAGGTGATTAAGGTCAACATCAAAAGTCATAAATCATGATGATGGTATGCACTCTTTTTTTTTTCAGATGGAGTCTTGCTCTGTTGCCTAGACTGGAGTGCAGTGGCGTGATCTCAGCTCACTGCAACCTCCACCTCCCAGGTTCAAGTGATTCTCCTCTCTCAGCCTCCTGAGTAGCTGGGATTACAGGCGCATGCCACCACACCCGGCTAGTTTTTTGTATTTTAGTAGAGACGGGGTTTTACCATGTTGCCCAGGCTGGTCTTAAACTCCTGAGCTCAGGCGATCCACCCACCTCAGCCCCCCAAAGTGTTAGGATTACAGGCGTGAGCCACCACGCCTGGCTGATGGTATGCACTCTTAATATGATGTGATAAAAATGGTACTTTACCTCCCCCAAACCCATAACCCAGTCTAATCATAAGAGAAATATCAGAAAAGTTCCAAGAGATGGGTATCCTACCCAATACTTAACTAGTACTCCTCAAAACTCTCAAGGTTATCAGAAACAAAGAAAGTCTGGGAAACTGTCACAGTCAAGAGGAGCCTAAGGAGACAGGACAGCTAAATGTAATCCTGAATGAGATCCTGGACCAAAAACAAAAAAGACATTAGGTAAAAACTAAAGAAATCCTAATAAACTATGGACTTTAGTTAGTAATAATGTGCCAATATTTGTTCATTAATTATAACAAACATATCATATTAATGTAAGATATTAACAATAGAGGAAACTAGATGGGAGATATGTGGGAACTTTCTGTACTGCATTCTCAATTTTTCTATAAATCTAAGACTGTTCTAAAAAGTGAAGTCCAAAAGCCCCCAAAACAAAACCTGCCCCATGTTGGTGAGGGAGCGGGAGAATGGCCATTCTCATGACCAGTTAGTGTACCATTACTCCATGGGACAGTTTGGGAACATGAGTGCAAATCAATAAAAACACGTGCATTGCGTACCCTTTGAATCAGCAATTCTGCCACCACTTTAAGGAAATAACTGGGGTTTTCTGAAAAGATTTGTCAACAAGTATGATCATCACAGTATTTTTGTAATAGCCCAAAGCTAGAAACAACGAAAAGGCTTTTGAAATTGGCTAAATACAGTATAGTATATTTATATGATTAAATGTTAAATCATTATTAAATATTGGATCATACAAGAATGAACTATAAGAGAAAAGTTACATGGAGGAAAAAAGGTTACTAACAATATGATTTTAATCCCACTGTATTAAAAACAATGGATTTATACCTGCATTAAAATCTTCTCTATTCTAGGCACTTAGCTGATAAATGAATAAAATGACGAATGAAGGGACAGTAGGAGGAAATGAAGAGAGAGAGAGATAGTGGTGTGACCTGGGAAGATCAGGTAGCACCTAGAAGCCCACTGCAAGAATTTGGCTTTTATTCTGAGTAATGCATGGAGATATGGTGGTTTTTGAACAGAAAAGTGACTTGTCCTGATGGTCATTTTAAAAGCATGCCTCCAACTACTCTGCTGAGAATAAATAGTGGGAGTGCAAGTATCTCAGCAGGGAAACTGTCAGAAGACCACTACAAGGCTGGGCATGGTGACTCGTGCCTGTAATCCCAGCTCTTTGGGAGCCTGAGGTGGGCGGATCACCTGAGGTCAGGAGTTTGAGACCAGCCTGGCCAACATGGCGAAACCCCATCTCTGCTAAAAATACAAAAATTAGCCAGGCATGGTGGGGGTCCCCTGTAATCCCAGCTACTTGGGAGGCTGAGGCAGGAGAATTGCTTGAACCCGGGAGGTGGAGGTTGCTGTGAGCCGAGATCGTGCCACTGCACTTCAGCCTGGGCAACAGAGCAAGACTCTGTCTCAAAAACAAACAAACAAACAAAAAACAAAACACTACAATAAGTCAGATGAAAAATAATAAGCTTCAAATTTTCTATAATGGACATATATGTATCACTTTAGTAAAGAGGGAAAATGCTTTGGAATATATATGTTATATATGTATTGATATATGCTAAACTTTTTATTTTGAGAAAATTATAGATTTATATGCTACAATATGTTTTGAAGTGAAACTGCTTTTGTTTGATCTTTGGTATAAATTGCTGCTTAGAACCACCTCATAAGTGTGTGCCCCTCAATCCCTCTTTTCTAGAATAAATGGACAAGTAGTGGCTTTAAAAGTCATCAGCATGAATGCAGAAGAAGGAGTCCCATTTACAGCTATCCGAGAAGGTAAGAACAGCAGAAATGGACCCAACAGATCTGTTTTGACTCCTTGATTTGGTAAAAAATTTATTGCATTGATCCATTCAGCATCTAGTTTTGATTCTTCTGGAATACTATAATTACATTTTTATTTTTCATACAAGTTTTTCAAGAGCATTTACACTGCTATTTTATTACTTAATTTTGAGGAAATTGAGATTTAAAACTATTATATCACTTGACCGAAACTATGAATTCACTGAGCAATTACTAATACTTTCCATGTGTTTGGCCTTATGCTAGGTGCTAAGGCTATACCTATATAACCTCAGAAAATTCCTATAAAAGAGAAAATATATAATCACACAAATTCTTACTGGGAAATTTGCCTGAACATAACATGTTGTTAGCTAGCACCTGGAGATTTTCCAGAAGGTATGCATTTTTAGTGTTCTGCCTGTATTTTGTCTGTGCCCTGGGCAGTATAGCAAATCGGTGAGGAACCTGGTGTCAAATGGACTTGGGTTTGAAGCATAGGTCCACCAATCACTAGTGGTATGATGTTGGGTAGATTACTTTAACTATTTATGACTCAGTTTATTGCAGAAAGAGGATAATAATAGTACCTATTTCATGGAGTTGTTATGAGGATTCAACAAGAATATGTATATAAAGCATTTATCACAGAGTCCATTTTTCAGAGTTCAACAAATGTTGACCATTATTATTCCATTCTTCTTTTCCTGGGTAATGTCTTATTTACCATCAAGATAACTAATACTTTATAATATAAAATATAAAGCCAACATAGTGAAATGAATCATTAAAAATATAATTTATCAACCTTTATTGCATGAGCCATTTGAAATAAGATGATGATAGGATTGCTGTGCATTTCAGCAAAATCCCAGAGAAACGGCACTTCCCTGGCCTTATTTTCTCCCACTTTTAACTACTTATTTTCTGTTCTTTACTAATCACATGCTATATGCAGATTATGCTGCTGGATGCTGTGAAGGATGAGAAGAGAAACCCATATCTTTGTTCTGTCATTTGTAGTCTTAACGGAGCACATGATTCAAGTCACAAGTGTATAAAAGACATAAACTAAGATTTTAGAGAACAAGTTAGTCTCAGTGTGACTGATGGAGTCAGTAGATTTTGAAATGAGCTTGTAAGGATGGGTTATGCAAACAGGCATGGAAAAAGCAATTTGGAAAATGAGTTTATAACTGAATTTGATATCCTTTTCAAAAGTCTTTCAGAGCCCCTGGGAAATACATCATTTTGAATTTAATTGGAGGGCCAAATGGGCTATTGGTTTAGCCAGAGATTCATCCTGGTAGGATCAGGTGCATTCTGGGAGAAGGCATGGTTTTAAATGTTTAATGTAATGGAAACTGCATTAACTAATGTACTTATTAATGGTCTCCATGAAAGGATGATCAGATTTGGAAAGAGATGTATGGGTAGGTTAAAGAGTATTTGTGAACGTAATAGAAATTCCCAGGTCACCTGCATAAGAGGAAGGTCTCCTTTGTGAGCTTGAGTTTGTCAATTGCTTAAGATTGGCTTTGCTTAGATATTGCCCACAGCCAAGTTTTTCAGGTTGACATTTAACTGTAACAGTGAAACCTTTTGCCAGGTTTGCTAACAGATGGTTCTCAGCATGGTTCAGAAAAGCTGGATCCGTTTTGTTCTGTATGCTAAATGTTTCTTTCATTGCATATTTACGGAGGAATTGCCTCTCCATCACAGGTGTTTACAATTACATTTAGTAGTCAACTGTGGACTTTCTTGGTTTGTTTTATGGACTTACCTTACCGAATGCTTTGCTTGTGTAATATTAAAAACCACAAGAGGATTTCTGACACATTGGAGGTTGTTAGGAATCCAATTTCCAACAATGAATGTTTCTTTTTACACCACTATAAAAGCTTGGAGCCCTTGTTAAAAGAGCCCTCTCCCCTCAAGAAGATATGAGGCTTCATTTGGAAACTTTGGCACTGTCCCATTTTTCCTGTAAGAACTTTAAGGATGTGAGACCAGGGAGACAGGAGGTTAAATGAGAAGGGCTGGAAGGCAAAATAAGAACAGCTGGAGTTCATTAGCTAAAATCCAGGGTCACTAGCTAAAAAGGCAACCGAAAGGCACGTGCAGGAAAACTGAACAAGTAATGCAGCCTTCTTTAAACAGCCTTGAAGCAGGAATTGCTTTTCCTGAACAATTTGGCTGCCCTGATGCTATAGCAGCCAAAGATTTATTAAGTATGATTTTACTACATATATGGTCTCTTTCTATACAGGTAGAATACATGTGGCAATTTACTAGTCTGGTCATTTGGAGTACTATTTTCATTTGACCTTAACATGTGATATTATGAAACTAGCAAAAGTATGAACAGCACTAAGGGAAATATATGTTTTTTTTTTTTTTTTTTTAGATGAAGTTTTGCTCTTGTTGCCCAGGCTGGAGTGCAGTGGCACGATCTCGGCTCACTGCAACCTCTGCCTTCGGGATTCAAGCAATTCTCCTGCCTCAGCCTCCCGAGTAGCTGGGATCACAGGCATGCACCACCGCACCTGGCTAATTTTGTATTTTTAGTAGAAACGGGGTTTCACCATGTTGGCCAGGCTGGTCTTGAACTCCTGACCTCAGGTGATCCACCTGTCTCAGCCTCCCAAGGGAAATATATCTTAATACATGTGTCAGGTGCTTTTCATACTTATTTCAATCCTCTTAATAACCCTTAGAGGTAGATATTATTAATATTATTCCACTATATGGCAGTGATTCAAACCAAATCTCTCTGATTCAAAAATTTGTATGCTTTCTATACACCCACTCTAGAAATATTCATTTAGCACCTACTATGACCAGGCAGTCTGCTGAACTGCTAGATACGCAGCAATACACAAAATAGATGTGTTCCCTACCACTCTCATTCCTTTGCTAATTAAGAAAAGCAGAGGCCTTCATAGTACCTTAGAAATCTCTCATAATTGACTCTAGAATTGTATTTTAAGTGTTTATTTTTACAACTAGGAGAAAATACTTTCATTTGAATAGGTTAATGTGTTATGTTTTTACATAGTATAACATTTCTTAGTTTTATGAACTTTATAGCAATATCTTAATAATGTGCATTGTTTTAAATATTTTTGTTCAAGTGGTCAACTTTTGGTTTAAACTGAGGACTTTCAGCCTGCTAATAGCATTTTTCTTAGGAAGGAGTCGTATAACTAATCTTTTTTGAGGACCAGGCACATGACATAATCTCCCTTTCCCCCTACATAATATATTTTTTAAAAACCTTTATACTAACCCTAGGAAGTAAAATGTGCTATTTTTGTTTTAGAGAAAAGAAATTCCAGCCTCAGAGAGGTTAGGTAACTTGTCTGAGGTCACAGAGATAGTACTCAGAGTTGTTAGAATCCGTATCTATTCTATTTAAAATCCTTTCTACTTTATTATGATGAATTTGGAAATGCTTAACTAAAGTATTTGTTTAGCAACAGTAAATATAAAAATAGAAATCTGTTTTTCATGATACATTTTGTGTAAACATTAAGGAAAATGCAGAAGAAGTATTTTTTTAATCTTTAATTTTAGATTCAAGGGGTACCTGTCCAGGTTTATTGCATGAGTATATTGCATGATGCTGAGGTATCCTGTCACCCAAATAGTGAATATAGTACCTGATAGGTCATTTTTCAACCTGTGTCCCCCTCCCTTCCTCTCCCCTTTTGGAGTCCCTGGTGCAGTGTCTATTATTCTCATCTTATGTCTGGGTGTACCCAATACCCCCACTTATTAGCTTCCACTTGTAAGTGAGAACATGTGGAATTTGGTTTTCTGTTCCTGCGTTAATTCACTTAGGATAATGGCCTCCATCTGCATCCATGTTGCTGCTAAGGACACGATTTTGTTCTTTTTGTGTGTGTGTGACTGCATAGTATTTTATGATGCCAGTGTACCGATTTTCTTTATCCAATCCACCATTGCTGGGCACCTAGGTTGAGTCCATGTCTTTGCTATTATGAAGACTGCTGTGACGAACATACAAGTCTAGGTGTCTTTTTGACAGAACAATTTATTTTCTTTTGGGTATATACCCAGGAATGGAATTGCTGGGTCAAATGGTAATTCTGTTTTTGGTTTTTTTTGAGGCAGGAGGTGGGACTCGACTCCAGAGGTGGGGCTTGAACACTGAACCAAATTTAGGACTAGCCGAAACAGGGCCTGGGTGGAGACAGCTTTCCAGAAGACACACCCACCAGTGTGCCATGTCAGTTTACCATTGCCATTGCAACACCTGAAAGTTACCACCCTTTCCCATGGCAACAACCTGACAACCTGGAATTACCACTCTTTTCCTAAAACTTTCTGCATAAACTGCCCCTCAATTTGCATATAATTAAAATTGGGTATAAATGTAACTGTAGAGCTACCTCTGAGCTGCTACTCTGGGCACACTGCCTATACAGTAGCCTTGCTCTGCAAGGAGCAGTACACCCACTGCTGCTGAACACTGCTGCTTCAATAAAAGCTGCTGTCTAACACTGCAGGCTCACCCTTGAATTCTTTCCTGGGTGAAGCTAAGAACCCTTCCAGGCTAAGCCCCAGTTTTGGGGCTCGCCTGCCCTGCCTTACTCTGAGAAATTTCTAAACTGTTTTCCACAGTAGCTGAACTAATTAACATTCCCACCCACAGTGTGTAAGCATTCCCTTTTCTTCTCAAGTTTACCAACATCCATTAATTTTTTACTTTTAAATAATAGCCTTTTTGACTGGTGTGAGATAGTATCTCATTGAGGTTTTGATTTGCATTTCTCTGATGATTCGTAATGTTGAGCAATTTTTTCATATGTTTGTTGGCCACTTGTGTGTCCAGAAGAAATATTTTAAATAAAATAACATATCATGTTGTATATTCATCAATTCTGATTCTATCATTGATTCTACAGTGCCGGTAACTGCAGTGTTTAAATTAGAAACAGCTCAGCTAAGAATCTTTTAAGATCATT